GAGAGACGTTTCTTTCTGCACGAAAGTGTCTGAAGTTTTATTCTTTCGCCGATTTAGGATAACAATCTATTGTCTCACATTATTTGCTCCTTCTGTGTTGATCTTTTGATTTTGGCTGCTCTTTTCAGAAATCATGGCCGATCCTGGGAAAATTGGCTATCCAGGCCCGCCTCCAGCTCAAGCTCAGTATCCCGCTTATCCTCCTTATTACTCTCAGCAGCAGCAGTATGGCCAACAAACACCATATCCATCATCTTACAACCCCCAGCAAGCTCCCTATGAACAGCAGGCTCAAAATTACCCGAAAGTTGATTTTCAAGGACCTCAAGTAAGCTGATTTATTAACCATCCATGTTCATATGATACTGCCTTTGCCAAACCCATGTGTTATTGGCATATGTGTTAAATTTCACACATTAGATCCAGAGTGTTATACAGTTAATATATAATTATATTTTGAATAAAAACATGAAATATTCCCAAAAACAAAATTTTATTCATATGCTGTACCCTGTACCAGTATTCAAATGCTCCATGTACTTTTTCCATTAAAAAAAAGTCAGGTGAATATCAAACAACTAGAGCAAAAAGTTTTATTTTTCCAGAATTGTTGAGTGGATCACATAAGTATAAAAGATAAATATTAAAGAAGTACTTCAATTGCTGCTAGTGAATTCCCTTTTGTATGAGAATAAATAGATAATTGCTGGTGCCCCATGCAGAACACTACATTTTTGTAACAGATATTTTATATTTATACAGTACTATATAATGTATTATGATGTGCTTGTCCACCATAAAAGTTTTTGTCAAAGTATGATAGATTAATTTGGGATATTTTTGAAAATGAATAAAAGCTATTATATAGTACTCATCTATATACAGTACTGCACAGCGTTTATATATACACAGTATATAGTTTTTATTGTTTCTATGTATAATTCATCTTGACCATATATTCAAAAGGAAATTATTCTTGAAAATCATTTCCACATTTTTTATACATTTTTCTGAGTTGGAAATTGAATAAGGGATCCTGTGTATACATAGCGTGCATCAGTACATTTAAATATACTGTAATGTACTGTATTAATTGTTCTGTGTATACCGCGCGTATGCAGTACGTTTCCTCAATGTTATTTGCATGCCGCATTGATAAATGTACTGCTCGAGCTAAATAATGTGGACTATGTGGTCGTGTCCAGGAATAAGTCATGAAAACTGAAAAAAGTTGCGCTGACCGACATTGTATAGCATGAAAGGCTGAACAAATGCCAGGTCAGTCATTTTACTCGGATGTGTACAGGAGAGTTGTTGTGGTATTTATCAAGTGCGTCTCCGGAGTTGTTGATGTCAACGGCCATACCACGTTGAAAGCACCCGTTCTCGTTCGATCACGGCAGTTAAGCAACGTTGGGCCCGGTTAGTACTTGGATGGGAGACCGCCTGGGAACACCGGGTGCTGTTGACTTTTTGCTGCACGTTTCTCTCTCACTGTTGGCTTCCTCAATTCCAGGAATTATCAACGATGTCCTTTAATACTTTTTTGTTTAAATATCGGGAATGTAACCAACATTTTATTGCCTCCTAATATAATGACTGCGGTTCTTCAAATTAAAATCGAAAAAAAGAAAGCCACAGAGTTGAATTTTAGCTGAAAATAATTTCAACTTGACTTTTAGTGATGCATGCATTTTCACATTATGTGGTTCCTATTCAGTGACACATTTTTCCATTTCTGGACTTGAACTGGGCATGTGCATATTATGTGACAATGCATCATGGCCAGAATCCAGTGTAATTATTATCTATTTCATTATCAACACAATTTTGCTGTATTCCTTCCTCTTAAATATATTTCACTTTGTGGAACAATTTCTTCTGAAATTTTTGCAGATTTCACTGTACAGAGCTGCATACAAGAAAGCTGCAAGTCAAATTTCAGGTAGAAGCAATTCTCACACATCAGTGGTTTTTTCTTCCTGTAAGAATGCTGGTTTCCTCAACTTGAAAAATCCCCAAGTGAAATTGTTTTGTGGCTCCCTCTGATTTTTACCTAATGATGAGATTTGACTGTATATTATGAAGTTTGACTGTTGTTATGAAATTTAAGTCTATACGCAACAAAATGTGAGGGATCTGGAAGCAATTTGTTGTTGATGGCATTTTTTGTATAGAGCAGTGCTCCCCAGAATTCTTGGGACTGCAGACTGGAAATTTTCTAGGAAATTTTTTGCACACCAGCAAATTTCCAAAACATTTTCTGTGGACCAGCAAATTTCCAAAACATTTTCTGTGGACCAGCAAAGTTTCAAATTTTTTGCTGACTTTAAAAGTTTTGTTTGAAAGGCTTTATGGCAGGTATCTAACAATTTTATTTTTTGCAATAATTAAGTCAAGAGCCCATGAAACAGCCTTAGTGGAATGTCTTCAAAAAATGTTAAAGGTAGGCTTGACTAAAGGGTTCCTCAGAATGAAAAATTGAAATAATTTATCTCAGCAGGGGACAATTTGTCTTTCAAGCATTATGAGGAGAAAATTCAACTTGAATGTTTTGGATAATTTCAAATGCCATTGTCTTTCCAAGATTTCAGATAACAATAACAAACTTCATTCCTACTTTTGATAAATGTATTATGCTGAAGAAAATTCCCTGCAGACCAGCAAAAAATTGTTGTGGACTGCTGTTGTCAGTCTGCAGACCATGGGTTGGAGAAAAGCACTGGCATAGCAAACCCCAATATTGGGAGAGAACCCTGTGCTGGGCCCTAAAAATGTATTGTACAGAGAATATTGTTGTAGGAAAGATCATTGTAGAGAGAGTCCATTTTTATTATTAGGTTTGACTTTATTTTTTGAGGTACTGAGGTTTGACTGAATTATTGATTATGAGGATTGATTGTATTATTAACTAGGATTGACTGTATTATCAATTGTGAGGATTGACTGTATTCTTATTATTATTAATTATGAATTTTGACTGTATTATCAATTATGAGTTTTGACTGTATTATTAATTATGTGTTTTGACTATTATTAATTATGAGTTTTGACTGTATTATTAATTATGAATTTTGACTGTATTATTAATCATGAGTTTTGACTGTATTATTAATCATGAGTTTTGACTGTATTATTAATTATGAGTTTGGACTGTTCAGTATAATCAAATATGTGATTTGACTGCTGTTCAGTATTGTCAATGATGAGGTTTGACTCTATTATCAATAAGTATGTGGTGTGAACTTTTATTATTGATTATGAGATCTATTGACTTATTATTAATTATGAGTTTTGTTGATATTTTTATATTAAGCCTCCTGCATTTGACTGTTGTATCATGTATTAAATTTGTATATGAAAGAGGCTGGCATTTTTTTTCAGATTCAGGATGCCACAAGAGGACCAGTTTACCAACCAGGAGAACAAAGAGATCTGGAAGCGATGCCTGAAGGTTACGGCCTCTCGTTTGGGAATCAGGCTGTGCGACGGGCCTTTGTGAGGAAGGTTTACAGCATTCTCAGTCTTCAGCTCCTGACCACTTCGGCATTCATAGCCATGTTTGTTTTCAAGTGAGATACAGTATTATTGTTAGCTTATTTTTGAAGAAAGGCATATTTATTCTCGAATCCCTTGAAAATTTTAATTTGAAACATCTTTGATGATGCACGCGATGAGCAAGACCGGGATCACATCAGACACACGTTATTAGCAGATGAATAATCCCGGGGATATAGACCCTAAACAATTCCAACAAGGGCAAAAAATTACTCAAAAAGCCCCATCATTTGGCAACACTTGACTGCTGTTCAACATAACTTATTCCGCCGAATTCATTGCATTATTTTCTTGGGATAAAATAAATCCAAGATGGAAACAGCTGTGGGTGACTGACGTGTGGAAAATTGAAATATAGTAGTTAAATTATTTGAAATTTTAATTTTATACACATTTTTGACCCATTTGTTTGTACTGGGTTCATGATTGGTCCACTCCAATGCCAGCACTAAAAATATATGGGGGATTTGTTGAATGGTCATTAAAGGGGCATTCATTTGGGCGTTAGTTGAATGCCCAGTAAACTACAGTGAGACTCCCACATGTGGACACCTTGACCTGGAGACAATTCAATATAGGGACACTTATTTTCCCATTAAAAATAGTAATAAAGGCCTGACATGAGGACACAGCTGACTTCACATAGGCACATTTTGTGATAAAATTGCAAATACATTTCAGGCCAAATTACAAGAAACAGATATTTCCAACCCTAAAATTGATGTAAGAGAAGTTCTTGGGCATTTCTCTCACCAATTTACCATCCACTTAGCTAATTAAAAAAAATTACCTCTAGCATAGAGGAACTTCCTTCTCTTTTTTTCACTTGAATGTTATTTTTTACAGAGAATGCCAACATTTCTCTGTACTGTACAGAGGTATAAGTTTTCAATTCCCCAAATGTCCATATTGTGTTTAAATATATTGATTGAATCAGTTTCCAATTGGGAGGCAATTTTTATTTTCATAGAATTATGGTGAGTATTTTGTCCATAAAACACCAATTAAAAATTATATAATGTAAGTCTAAGGGAAAGTGAGACCTGCCTTTGGGAAATTTTGACTTAAGCAGACTCTTGATGCACCAATTACATTCATAATCTCAGGGTCTCACTGTGCAGTAGTTCAAAGATTCTTGTAAGACCATTTTCTGAATGGGCAGGATTGACCATTTGTGAATGGGTCTCCAAATGGGTTCATAAATGCTCAAATTTTTTTGCTGTGATAGTTGATTTAAGCTGCTCTTTGACAGCATAAAAATGAGGCTGTTCCTGTCCTCAAAATCCATTCCTTTTAGGTCCATCTTACAGTGTTGGGAACAGCCAGAAGAAGTCACAGCAGGGTGCCTAATTGACTAACATCATTTGATTTTTGGCACTGTTTTTATCTAAAAATTTATTATGCAAAAAAATGCGTTGAAATCCGCAGAGAGTACGTTAATTGAACAGTACTGAACAGTGGCGGCCCTAGGGTGGGGCGAGAGGGGCGGCCGCCCCAGGCCCCGCGCTTGAGGGGGCCCCGCACTCAAGGATGGCCCCGCCATTCAGTGGCTCTGAAAATTGGCTGGCCCCTTCAACATTTTTTCCAAGTTTTTAAAACTGGAAGGAGTGGGGCCCCCTTCTAAAAAAACTAGTCTATTCTTACCTCTTTACAAAGTTTGCTGACAAGTAATCTTATCCATTAGCAGAGCACAACAGAGCCAACAATGCATTTAGAAGAATATTTGCGTAGGAGCTTTCCTACTGTATNCATTGCCAGATCCAAAGAGCCAAGTGTCATCCAATCCATAAATTGCTCCATCATCACCAAGACCCGCATCCATTGTAAATGCTTGCTTAATGGCCATCAAAAGTTTGATGAGGTACAGAAAACAATAAAGGGCTGTACAGCGCAGATCACCAATTTTTCTGTAATGAGCTATTGCACAACTGAATCAGTGAACTGAACCAGGATTTTGAATTTTTATTAAAAGACAGTTTACGGCAGTGGCGTAGAGTTTTGCCGACAATGAGCTATGCTCTGGCAAATAACTACACCACCCTGATATATCACAAATTTACATTTTTGAAGTGATATAAGTTCAAAATTTTGTCAGTCATGATTAAAAATGTAAACTCTTCTTACCTGATTTTCAAAGAAGTTTATTAATTATTTTTTGTCAATAAATTGTCCAATAAATATTCAAGCTCTTTTCCAAATTTCAAGAGCAAAATGTGTTGGGCATCAAATGCTGCCAGAAGTGTGAAGTTTGGTGCATTAAACAATAATGACTGCTTACGAATCATCTAAATGTAAATATACTGAAACTTGAATTCATGATTTCCACTTCAGCCAGCACTCATCAACTTTTGTTCTGTTGATGCAAATTCCAATATTCTTGCACATCAAAAAGCCCACTGATGTTTTACACATGTAAACATTTTTCAAATGATCTAAAGGTTGAAAATTGTTACAATTATGATTAAAAACAAATTAAGTAGTTTTCCTAATTTTTCAAAAAAGAATTGCTTTTTTCTGTAACTTTGTCAAAATTGTACATTTTCCAAAGTTTAAAAACGAAACAAAAATTGTAGGAAAATCCACTGCTCTTCATCTATGATGCAGCCAAAAATTCGAATTTTATGGGTCCAAATTGTTGATGGTTGACACAATCAATTCCAGCTGCAACGCATGTGGCGCTGCTTGCTGTGGCGTATCTGGTGTGGTGCTTCAGAAAAGGCCCCGTGACATGAGCGCCATGACAGAAGCAGCAGCGTCATCAGCAGGGCAAGAGCGTCATGGTGCTTCAATGCTGGAAGTGTGTTCTGCAATGCTGTGAACTGCTTTTGCTGTAGAAGTCACTCCCTGTGAAACATATTTTTTGTTGTTGCTCCAGCTCTGTAGTTACTGTGGGAAGCAGTAAACATCGTCCACATTAAATATTCAATTAAGTTGTCAAGTTAGTCTTGGAATAATTAGAAATCAACTTATATTGAGTTATTTACAGCTTGTAAGATGTGAGTTATACTTATGGTGTCACCACACTATTCACATATCAGGAATGATGTGGACGCCCTTAATTCTAGCCCACCAGTTATTGTCTTCAGGAATCAACATTACTCTCACTAGGTGAATCAACAGCAGTGAAATGTATAGTGCAAACTCCTGGTGCTGTATATATTTCACAGATGTCAATCAGTCCATGCACTGCATGTTTTCTTGCTCCTCAATTGTGGATATGAGAAACAATTGGATTTTCAATTGCCTCACACAGATGTTGTGGATTTTTCTTTTTGATTTTGAATTGCTGCATAAATATTTTGAAGAAGGAGTTGAGACACTTTCCTGACTGGCAAGTTACCTTTATTTGCATTTCCATCAGCAATAGCACATATCAAATATGCATGCACAATGAAGAGTAGCAAATAATTCCACAGCACACATAATAGAGTTGTCTTCAATCAACATCACTCTCAAACATAAGATTGAAGATCAAAAATCTCTATTTTATCAATTGCCAGTAACAATAAACTTCAAAATGAGGTTTTTGACAGAATTGCTATATATAGATGTTGTTTACAGCTTAAACCATTGCAGCACTGTGTCATCTTGTCTCTGCATATGCTTCAGAATTTAGGTTTTCACCTTGGGAACTATTTCCCTTGCCCAGCAAATGCATCAGTCAATAATTGAAGAATGGACCAAAATTTAGACTGATTTGGGCGATCCTGATTACTTCCATCTCCATTGATGTGAGCAGTTGTTGTTGCTTGCTTTGTCTGGGTGCTCATGTTTGTATTGTTTGTGTTATTGATGCTAGTGCTGGTGGTCAGGGCTGGATTCAAGGTTGTCGTGTTTCCTGGCAGTGTTGTTGGGAGTACTGGTAAAGAATTGCCACAAATGATGTTGCTGAAACTGCAGATGAAATCCTTGTGCCTTGAAAATGCCAGTGAGACCCCAGCAGCAGCTGTTGTGTCACACAGTTCCTTACGTCGTGTGAGTGCAACCAAGTATTGGTTATTGTCTGCTCCAAGGGCCACAACTGCACTTCCCGCAGGAATCTATATATGTATAGAGAAACATTTTGAGCACAGCACCCCAGTGGGGAAATTGGTGCACACGGGGGATTTGTTTGTAATTCTGCACAGTGACCCTGCTGTGCAGCTGAAGTGTACCAAAGTTCTTCTGTTGCCAGTGGCGGCCCTAGGGTGGGGCGAGAGGGGCGGCCGCCCCAGGCCCCGCGCTTGAGGGGGCCCCGCACTCAAGGATGGCCCCGCCATTCAGTGGCTCTGAAAATTGGCTGGCCCCTTCAAAATTTTTTCCAAGTTTTTAAAACTGGAAGGAGTGGGGCCCCCTTCTAAAAAAACTAGTCTATTCTTACCTCTTTACAAAGTTTGCTGACAAGTAATCTTATCCATTAGCAGAGCACAACAGAGCCAACAATGCATTTAGAAGAATATTTGCGTAGGAGCTTTCCTACTGTATATACATTTTTCAATCTTCACTGAAATTTCTGTTGAAGATAAAATGCATTTTTACATTTTATAAGGTCTTGTTGAGTTCTTAAAAATAAGAATTCAAATAGAAACAATGCATATGGAATTTTGAATCACCATTAAATACTGTAATGGTAATCCTCAATGTTGAACTTTCCCATGTAGTTTATGCAATTATGGTCCAATTTGCAATCAATATTTCTAAAAATATGATGATCAAGATTACAATGAAATTCACATTCATTCATCATGATTTCAAAGTAAATATGCTGCTTTCTCTATTAGGGATAGAATAACATTTTTTCTGGAACTTGCTAGAGCATGAACTTTATTGATTTTAATGATCTTTTGTAATTGCATTTCCAGTGTATCCCTGGCAAACCTCACAAGAACAATTCCTTTTAAATCCCCCTGAATGGGAAGTTTTTGGCTCTAAAGCTAGTCCTTTGCCAGTAAAATTATCCTGCAGAAATGCATTTCTGTTATAAAGTGCAGGCCAGATTTTAGAGCAGCTGTTCCAAAAAAATGAGAAAAATAATATCTGTGATGTTTTTATAAACACATAAGCTGCATTTCTAAACATTGGTACTGTGTTAATGAGCAACATTTATAAGAAGGTCAGAAAGTAATTTTCTTGATCAACCTGTACACAAATTAGGCCATCATTGTAAAACTTGAAAACTGCCTTGACAATTTTTTAAAGTCCTCTCAAGTTGATCCTGAAGATTATCAGCAGTATAACTGATACATCAGATACATTTTCCAGAATAAAATATGCGAAAAAATGTATTTAATCTGCAGACTGTTAAAATAAATGAATGCTGATCAGCTTAATTTGGTCTCACAAAGATGATAACCATTGAGTTTTGATTAGCCGCACTTCTTTTCTGCAGTAATTATTATTGGTATTATATAAATTTTATTTGCAATGTCCATTTTGGTTATTGGTTATTTTAAATTTTGAAAATTTGAATTGTAAAACCAATTCAGCCAAAACAAACAATTCTGCATTTAAAATATGCTATAGTACAAGCAATTGAAAAAGATTATAAAACATTTATCTTGCAAAAGACCTTTTTATAGCTTTCAAAAATGTAATTAGATTTGCAGCTGTACTTTGATACAAATCTTGTTTTTCATTGTTCCAGTGCTGTTTTAGAATTGGCAGGGAGTATTTTTTAAGGGGCCCCGCATTTGACATGCTTGCCCCAGGCCCCGCAAACCCTAGGGCCGCCTCTGGTACTGAAATTATTTTGCCGAATGATTGGGCTATATGCAAGTACAGTGGCCCCCAGCCTAACAGACCTCCCTTGTAAGGGATTTTTGCCAAACAGACCAGCTCTGCAAGCACTTTTTTCCTCCCGCCCAACAGACAAAATCCGCCAAACAGACTTCTTTTTTAAACCAAAAGAAGTCTGTTTGGCGGATTTTGTCTGTTGGGCAGGAGAAAAAACTGCTAGTATAGTATATATATATATATATATATACTATACTTACTTTGATAGGCAAAAACGGAAATATCTCTGATGGTGTTGGCTGCAAGAATTGAACCATCCACATCAATTGAGACGCGGATGAACCCAACGCCATTTCCTTGAACCAATGCCTCGGCCTGGGTTAATTCAATCATTGCGAAACTGTTGTTGAAAAACGAGTTCACGTTTGAAGTATTTCCTGGATGCAATTGCTCCAGGAAACGGAATCAAAGCACTTTCATTTGAAACCACAACAGGTGCAAGTGATCCGTAAGGGGCTTGAATGCGGAACCCCGTCAAGAAGTTGGAAGGACCATAAGTTGCTCGCAAGTAGGCCAAAGTCAGCTCATGATAGAAGGTCAGAACATGCCTGAAATATACAGCATTCACGCATTAAAACCGCAGCTAGTGGAAAGAATGGTAATTATATATGCGTGCAACTTATTATTTGGGTACCGACAATTCTTTATAAAGTAAAATCTTGCTATAGCAAACTTCCGACAGGATCCTGCTGATTGGTAACAAAAAATTTGTTGAATCCAGCGTGTTGCATGCAGGTGCACGGCTATTTAAACGCATTTTAGACTGACATTTTTGTTAAATGGGCTGTAAAAACTGTACAAAATGAATACAAAACAGATGATAAAAGACTTATAGTAATATATCTTGGTTTCAGTAATTGCCTTTATGCTGCAATTCTTAATTAACTCTGAAATTTCGTTTTTGTCATCAGAGAAGGGAAGAAAGTGTATGTACCATATTTACATCAGTATTGTGCAATTGTAAATTTGAGTCGCTTCTTTTTAAATATCCATGTGCAGTACATTATCTTATTGCTTTGTTTTCCATTCTGATGTGAGATGGAATATGTTTGGATGAATGCTGTGGAATGGGGAGGGAAAGGGGGTTTGGATGTGATGGTAACATTGCTTATTGAACCTTGCTGTGTATGGTGAAAAGTAAAAAATAAAGCTTTCTCATCAATTTCAATATTATAATTATAGAGCATTATTGATGAAATATGAAAAGAGGAAGCTATTCCAATAAATAGCAATTTCCTTATGACTTAAATCTTCCTTTGATCTAAAATGTCATCTGTCTTGAAATTTATATAGAAAACTGTATGCATCAGAATGAATAGAAATACTGTACAGTGTTAATTCCAGAAATTCTGAATTGGCGTATTCATCCATATACAGTGCTGTACCTTCAAATACAGTACAGCTAGACAAGGAACATTTCTTCCAGCATAGTGTTTTTTTGAAAGAAAGGTACACATTCTGAAATTGAGCTAACAAATTTATATATACTGTACTGTACTTCTGTGTATGTAAATATTACGTGGTTTTTGAAATTTTTCAGATTTTCAAAGACAATTTCCAATTTACTCTATGATGAGTAGAAACTTTCCAGTCACTGATGCCAGAGTTCTCCAACCCTGCTACAGCTACATCATACATGTGCTAAAAATTTGGAAGGAGAGCTAAAAATTAAAATTTCTTCCTTGTGCTTCAAGCATAACATTTCTAAATATACCTTGTGGGATTCTTCAAAAATTTTTATTTACAATTTTGTTCACAAAAAGTGCATAATGCAAAATTTTACATGGTGATGTTCTCAGAGCAAGGTTTCACTTCCAGTTTTTAACTTTTTTTAACAATAGAGTATAATTGGGTTAAGTTCAAAGAATACAAAATACTTTTTGTTTTCATTATTGTTGATAATAAATTAACAATTCAAAATATTTTAAAGTTTTGCAAGATGTATAGGAAATTTCAGCACATTCAAAATATAACACAGCACTTTCAATTCTTGCATTGGGTTTTAAAATTTTCAACACTTTGTGACATGGCTGGAGAACTCTGGCTGTAATAGCTGGAAAGTTTTCATTTACCTGTATATCATCCAGAAAATCTAAAATTTTTATAAAAACCTGCTGTATAAAAAATACCAAAACCTTAAATAATATGGAGTATAAAAAGATTATATGATTAAGCCCATGCAATTTTAATATTGTGGGATTTTTTTTAGAAAATTAAACATTGGTATTGTGGAGAAAAAAATATTTGATTTTTCTTTTTGTGGCCAATCAGAGGCCAGGGAACATGCAAGGATTTTCTGGAATTTTATGGTCAGTTCACCTGACCAGAAAATTCCGAAAAACCAAAAAAAGCTCTAATTAATGCAAATTTATAGTCATTCTTTCCTGAACTCTTCAAGGACAATATTCTCCTTCACCTTTCCTGATTTTTGCAGAAATCTGTGATTCTTATTTATGCTGTGATCTGGTATTGTGATTCAATTATGTTGTGTGGATTGATTGTGTTTACAGTGGGCCCTCACTTAATGATGGTAATCTGTTCCAGGAGGACTGCCTTAAACAGGATCCATCATAAAATGGAACCCAATTCCCCTTAGAGTTGCATTATAAAGTCATTAATCCGTTCCCAAAGGTACATTTTTAAAATTAAATGCAATACTATTGTGTTTTTTATAAAATAATTTCATTCAAATGTACCCTCAACAATGTAAGAAATGTCAAGGAATTAGGTTATGGTAAGAAAGATGTACAGGGTGGGCCAAAAAAGTGAATCAATTTTTGACTTGTAATAGCTCACTCAAAAAAGTAAGATGTGGCAATGAGAAAATTACCAAATGTAAGCTTGTTCAATTTTCTTTTAAATGGTATGCATTTTATGGTCCCAAGTGCCACAGAATGGTTGCAAGTACAGTTTGAATGAAACCTTGCCATCAAGAAGTTGTCAGGTGACTTTTTCCACCAAGTTGCTCTTTGGGAGAGCTGTTCTCATGAATTGAAGAATTGCAGGATGCAAAAGTTTACCAGAAAACTTCAGGCTGTCTTTGAGAGCCTGCAGGTGTTCCCAAAATTCAGAAGGTGGAGGTTAGAAGGGGGAAGGAAATTTGAAAGATAGATGCTGGGCTCCTTTTTTGCATGCATTCATGTGCTGCTGGGCACTGGCTTCACAGCTCATGGTGACCAATGTATGCTCATTTTTTTCTTGATGACTGGATTGCTGAACATGATTTTAAATGAAAATGATTTCAATTGAACTGATTTCAAGTGAAACTAATTTTGGACAATCCAGACATCCAGAAACCAAAATGTGCAGGCATTGGGTCACCATGGAGCTGCATGGCCAGTACCCAGCAGCACCTGTGCATTCAAGAAGCTCCACAGCATCCTATCTTGCCAATTTCCTTAACCTCCTTACCCACTCCTTCTGAATTTTGGGAACATGTGCCCAGCAAATAATGGGGGCATTGGGCTGTGAACCGTTGAGGAAATGGACTGCCAACAGGTTCTGGAACCCATTCTCAGAATGGTTGGGAGCAGAGCCCAACAACCTGCTGTGGCATTCTCAGGGAAGCATTCCAGGACTTGGCAGTCCATTCAGAACACAACTAAAGAAGAAGCCATGCTGAGAATCATTTTTGAACGGTACTCCCAATGTTTCCTGAGCAATAAAAATGCACCCCTTGTTGAGAGCACCATTCCAGAACACAGGGCTGGTGCATTTTGGAATGGTACTCCCAACGTTTTGTGGGCAATAAAATGCACCCCCATTCAGAGCATCATTGAACAACGCAGTACCAACACATTAGCAATGTACACATATATAAACATTAAAATATATTCAGAGAAAATGTTTCAAGAATCATTTCAGCATCAAGGTAAAAAAGGTCAGATTTTTGAATGATGGAAATGTTGGTGAGGTGTTTCACACAAGAAATGATTTCCCAAACTACTTTTACACCTCAAAAGCACTCCACATCCTAATTTTCTAAGTTAATCTGATAATACCTCATTTTAGTATAAGTAGCATAAGTATTTGCATGGTATCTAGCTTGTGCATGCATAGCTAGATGTGAAGGTGACTGACCCTCACTCAGATGGCCCCAGTTTGAAACCCAGCAGGAGCATCATCAGGACAGCAGATTGAAAGCCAAGGAGCAGCAGCAGTAAAGAATGTTGTGAACAGAAAGCACACAGAGATGAAGTAAACAAGAAAGAGGAAAGAGTATAACACAAAGAAAGCAAAATAAAGAAGAAAACAGCAGGAATTGAATGGGAATTTTTTTTCTTTTTTTTTCTACATGGAGCAGTGTATCCCTGGGGTTGTTTTCAGAATGGGTGTGCAATGGGTTTTGAAATGCATTGTACAACAGTAATTCAAAGGGAGGGGTGGTGGGTTGGTCACTGACACTGGAAACAGTTTTCATGAAAACATTCATGAAAACATTGGCAATGCATGCTGGCATGCGTTCCAGAACAACCCAGGGAACAACTGCTCCCCCAGCCGTTTGACAGTGACCAAACAGCCGTTAGCCCAACATTCTGGTCAAAACGGCTTGCCAATGGAGTTGCAATGCAGGTTGCAATGGCAAGATTATTTGCTGGATGCACACTCTCCAAGACAGCATGGAGTTTTCTGGTAAAAGTTTTGCATCCTGCCATGCTTTAATTCATGAGAACAGCTCTCCCAAGGAGCAACTTAGTGGAAAAAGTCACCTGATATCTTTTTCATGGAAAGTTTTCATTCAAATGGTACTTGTGACCATTCTGTGGCACTTGGGACCTTAAAAATGCATACAATTTGACAGAAAATTCAAAAAGCTTCCATTTGGCCCATTTTTTCATTGCCACATCTCAATTTTTGAATGAGCAATTTCAAGTAAAGAATGATTAACTTTTTGCATTCCCCCCCTGTATAAAAGGATAACAAGAATTGATTTTCACAATTTTGTGCACTTCTCAAGAATTTTTTTCACACTTTCTTTGAGAAATGAGAAATTGCCTCTCTGGATGCCTTCTTAGGTGCCATCTCTTCACAAACTCAGGTAATTATTTCACACATTGACTAGAATACAGAACATAGATATATATGCACTGTACTGTAGAAATAAAGACATAGAGATTAAAACTTCCAGCACACTGTTACTGTACAGTTGTACAGTGCAGTGCAGGTAAAAGGTAATGTAAAAAACAAATTGAACAGTTACTGCACACAGTATACTTCACTGAACTTGGAAAAACACTCAAAATTCATTTCCCTAATCCTCTGACATGGAAAATGCCATCTTGGAGGCTGTAGGCAATCAATTTTTTGTGATGCGCCTGATGGTGACTGGTTGACATATACCGAGTCTGCAAGCCAAAAATTTGTCATAGCGGATTTGTCATTAATCGGGTCCGTCATAAAGCGGAGGCCCACTGTATTCTCATTGAACTCTTAATCTTTTGACTCCGCTGAAAACATTCAATAAAATTTGTCAACACTTGGAACATACATTCACGGTAACCCCATGAATATGTGTCATTCACATCAAAAGGCTGATTGCCTGTGTTTTTTATTTATTTATTTTGTATATAGGAGAGGTATATAACGGGGTTTAACTGATGTATAGTGGTATAGTGAGAATGTCAATGTAATTGGCATTATCACTAAACACTGTGTATGTATGTAGTGTCTCATTCATTGGTGGAAGGATAACATACCTGGGTGACAGAAGAGAGCCGTAACACGGGGTGCTTTACTTCACTGAAGCCGTGTCGAATAGTCGCGCCTCCACGACAGCCATGAAGTCGTCCTCTTCATCTGCAGTCAGTCTGGGTTGAGCAATAAATCTTCGTCGACGAGCTGAAGAATCATGATGGTGTCGCCCAGAATGAGCAAGCACATCAGCAGGAACAATAATGCTCGAGTCTGAATAATCAGCAGCAGCAGCATCGACACTTGTGGTCATTGCTAAACTGCTCATGCTGTACTGATCATCTGCAAATAGTACAGTATGATTATTAGAAGCATATAAACAGTCAACCCCCCACCTAATGGACCTAAAGAATACAGGAGGAGGTCTGTTTTTGCTCAACAGACCTCCTCTGGAGTCAGCTTTTCCTCCCACCTAATTCTTCATGAGGTTTCATCATAATAAGCTACAGTATTAAATATACAGTTGATTACATTATTTGTCAACTCAAAACTCCCTATAATAAATGGAAATACCCACTCTGTTGAATATTGTTTCAATAATTCCTTGCATGTTTGAATTCCCTTAAATGCAAAGTATTAAATACCTCTCCATAATTAACACTATCAAAGGCTTCATATATTCCTCAACCTCAAACCTCCAAAATTAAATTTTCTGATGGATTTCATTTTGACACAGCTTGGAAGAGAAAAGTAGTAAAAATGCAACTTGATGTACATGTTTTGAAAGGAAGACTAATTGGGCAAATAAACCCTTCCCTCCAGCAAGTTCAGCATCCTATCAACTCACTCAAGTCAAGCAAAGTTCAACTTCACAATTAAAATGTATACTGTACGTGTTATTATATGAAATAAAATTCTCAAGAATCGAATAACTTACCCTTTGTCAGGACCAGGATGGCTAGAATCAATAAAACGTTCGTCTTCCACAAACGCCCCATCATCAACCTGCAAAAAAGAAAAAAGAGTATTGAAATTGGCAAAGAGCATGTTCAACCGCGCTCTGAGGAGTTGTCAAAACTAAGCGGGGGGGGGCTATGCAAGTAAAATACTTGGACTCACTCATATATATTCAAAAAGGCTTCAGAATATATACGCAAACCAACCCTCTTTTATACATTTCAGAAGTCTTCATACTTAACATTCACAGAAGAATAACGACAAACATGATTCTCTATCTATTGTCCCTTGCATCAATCAAGGGGTAAATGTTTTTAAATTGACGTTTATACTCGCGGGATAGGGAATTGCTGATGCAAGTTGAAGAGTATATTTTACAGTGCTGAGACAGACCCTGTGATAAAATCCTATTCCTCGCAGCAACAAAAAATTGAAACACTGACGAACGATAGTTTCCAACCACTGTATTCTACTGCAGCAGTCGACGTGCTGATGGAATCGAAAAACTCGGAAAAGTGTTGCCACCAAAGTGATGACGATCACGTTTTATGTCTACTCCAATTCCTGTCCTCGGTCTCTTCTTTTCTTTTCGCCGCACGCTGACGAAAGTTGGAGAGAATCAGAACACGAAAGACACCTTATTGCTGGTACTGGAAAGCAGCAGCAAAATACTGAACGAATTTCAGGCCGCAAGTCCCGTGACGCACTTTCATTGAAGCAGAAGTTTGAAAACATCACAAGGCAGTACAATTTGCCTGTGCAGCCGTCATCCCTCCAACGAATATCACTATTTTCCTCCCTCTCTGTGGGAAAAATTTTGAAATCTTTCCCCAATAAAGCCCCATATGCTCATTATGTGGCTCAATTATGCATACATATAGGCACAAAGGCACCTAGGAGGGTTCTAACAAAAGATTTTCAGTAGAACAGGCAAGAAGTGACCCCTTTTTTCTTCGAAGGGGGAGCCCCTCGGCGGATAGATGCGCCAAACGCTGCTCAAGTGATTTTTCAATGTTAATGGAACAGTTAAATCTCCCCATTCAAGTCGAGGTTTTCGAAAAGGCGGCTCTTATTTCAAAGACACGAAGGGAAATATGAATGCCGCTGATTTGAAATAGGCGTCACGGCCATTCTCTTTTCGCGGTGAAGTTAAATTGAAAAATATTCCCTGCGAACTTTCATCAAGATATCTCGGAAGTCTTCACGTTTAAACGAGGGAAATTTTCACAGTGGTGATAAACTCGAAATTGCTCAGAGGAAAATATATATATCGCAAAACTTGAATGAATGAACAGTTCCAACTCATGAACTTGCTGTCTTCAGCTCCTCAGTCCTGAAACTCAATAAACTCGCGTCTTCATATTTCCCTTTGGCCTTTGATATTTCACTTATCTTCGCGCTCATTCTTGATAGAATAACGTGGAAATGAAAAACATCATAATCAAAACAATTGTTGACACTGACATGAAATACAACAAGTAATTCACGTCTCGAAAAGTCTTCTTGCATTTTTCAAACACAACACTCAGTACAGTACAATCTTCAATCAAGTAAAAACGTCGACCAAACCATAGTACAAAAAGCTATCCACAATTGCCATCTTCTCTGGGAAAGAAATTGAAAAAATGAAGGCGTCAATGTAAGTACAGTATCCGCATATTTCCATGAAGGATCATGAATATGTTCGATGGTCGAGAGCACCTCGTGGAGTCGTGCTTTGAAAAATGAATAAGATCGTAACTCTTGCGATTCATATATCATTGCTGTGTACTGAAGATGGCCGAAATCGCCTCGAATACCTGAAGCTCACCCTGCACAAACTTGTTCGGCAGAAAGCGAAACCATTCGGAGTAAAATCTCGTGACGAATGCTGATGAGAATTTGGAGTTCCTTCGTCGTTGGACGTCACAAGCAATGTACTCATGACGACGATCCACTCCCACATGACAAACGACAGTCGCTTGATCCAAGCGAGACCCTGGCCCGAGGCAGTCTTGCATTGTTTCCAGCAACCCTTGGCCGTCTTGGAACAAATTTTTCGACAACAACACGACATTCTTCAGGCGCCTGAACGCCTTCAAGGCTCGGAGAAATTTTCTCACTTCCTGAGCGAATATAAGAGCGCGGTAAGTGAGAGAGAGGGTGGAGCCCACAGAACATGAAGTAATGTATTGTACACACGTAACTTAAAAAAAATGAACGATCGGCAAATCACTCAATATAATTCCATAAAATGATTCCCAACAGTGACTTGAAGATTGATTTAGTTGTAAGGGTCAGTTAAATAAAATCGTTCTTGGTTTATAGCAACTGCTGATTAATCCCACAAGCTTACCTGTTAAATTTCCATAATATTGCAGGAATTCAACAAATCCTCACTCTTTTAGTCAAATAATAAGGGACCAGAAAAAAATTTGAGTTAGGAAAACAAACATTTTTGCTGAGTAGAAGAAAAAAGGATTACAGGAAATCGTAATACTTTTCCTGATTTGATAATCTAGGCCTTAGATTGCTTCTTACATGAGTTGAGAAGGATGCTTAACTTATTGGAGACAACGGTTTGCTAGCCCAATCAGTCTTTCACTTCTCAAAATTCACCAAATCACATTTTTATTGCTTTCATCTTTCTTGTTCAAATAAAATAATGGCCAAAAGCCTCCAGAAAATTCTGACTTATGAAGGCTTGAGCTGGAAGGAAACTTATTGTCAAGTTAGGAAGATTTTTAATGCTTTGTTTGAATTCAGAACTGGAAAAATTCAACATCAGGTTGCATTGAACTTACGGAGGCTCAAGTTATTGATGCAACTTTAACATATACAGTTGAACCTCTCCAAGTTGAATTTCAAGGGAGCAGATAACAAATTTGACTTAGGGAGGTTTTGGGGAATTTCCACAGAAATGTTATTTAAAAGGTTGTTTCATAAGTCTTTTACAACTTTTTGATGTGGACATAATATAGAGTTTAAACAATTTGAATTTTTTCCCATTGCATAGCCACATCATCTGGCAACGCTTCAGTGCAGTTGAATGTACTATCCACCAATTTCATTGCATTTTTCACGTGATAAATCCAACAATCAAAACAGTGCAAAAAATCAAGTTCCTTTTTTTGATTAACCTGCTCTTTGCAGATGGCAGAAATGAGACTGTCATGCTGTTTTAAGTCAGTCTTCTTCAGGTTGTTCTTCACTGTTGGGAACAGCCAGGAGTCACAGGGCGCATGAACAACTAACAGAACTCAATTTTTATCAATCCAACAAACAATATGCAGAAACTCAATTTTTGCATTGTTTTGATCATTGGATTTATCACATGAAAAATGCATTGAAATTGGCGGATAGTATATTCAACAGCACCAAGTGTTGCCAAATGATGTGACTATGTAATTCAATGTTTTTTTTACATTTTTTCAATGTAAAAAATCACATTCTCCTTAAAAAGTTTGTTATAATGGACTTGGTGAATTTGTTGAAACAAGATTTTTATAACATGTACCCTACAGGATTTCTGCCAGGAATTTAAAAAAAGTTTGTAATACTGAAACATTTGTTGTAACAAGATTTTACTGTAGTAGCTTTATAATATTTTGTCCAACACGATGCAGCATCCGCGTCTTTCACAGCGAAATGCTATGATGAATAAGCAGTCCCTATATAGAAACCAACAAAATGTTGCCAATCACAAAAAAGTATACTTTACATGCCTCTGTTTATGTGAAAGGAACAAGAAGATATTTGGCATTGGTCACAAAAACAGGCATGAATTCCGGGCGGGACGTTCTCAAAAAAGTTCAACTACAGTCACTGAGGATGAAAGAAATTACCTGTTGCCATTTTTGATCAAAAGTTCATATTTAGCACATACACTTTCAGAATCCAGTTTCTTTCACGTTTCATGCTCTTACCTTGAGGTTACGCACTTCAATCCAAAGATCCTCCAGGGTGTTCTTACAGTGACTGATTTGACGTAGCACAGACCATGCCCTGATGAGTTTGGTTCCCGGGAACGCAATAAACTCCAACGGATGGGACAATTGACGAAGAGTATCCAAAGGAAGATCATCCGGTACACTCAGAATCAACCCCCTAAGTTTTGAGCAGAAACTCAGTTCTTTGAAGGCACTTTCAGGGTTTCTAGGGACAGCGTTGTGTTGGAAAAAGAGCACAACACATTCCAAATTCAACATTTTGGAATATGGAATGTATGTCTCCCACACATCAGCAGAAACACATTTCAGATTTTCCAGCCATTCCCTTGGACTTGCTGTATTGAAGACTTGCAGTGCTTGTAAAACTTGTTGAGTAGGTTCTATAAACGAATGCTTGGCGACATTCCTGATCCAAAGGTGGTCCAATGATGGCATCAATGGAAAATGACGACCTGCTGCGATTGGTGAGGCATCTTCCAGCAACAGTGATTTCAACTACAGTACATCAAAAATATCAGGATGAAGATACACACACAGAGTGTTGGTCCACTTTTAAGACAGTACCTTCCAGCGCAAGATTTGAGAAAACATTGAAAACTCAGTCTATAACGGATTTAAATTTTTATTTCTAGAATCATCGGGGCAATATAAAATATTGGATAGTCATTTTACAGACGGATATAATTATTGTGAAAAGGGAAATACAGTGCTGGGTCTCAATATTCGCCAAACTCTTGAATTACTTTGACTGTATAAGTGAAAGGGCGAAGAATGGCATTTTCTAGAGGTCAAATTCAAAATATAACCATAAATGGCGATTCGAATCATCAATTATGATTAAACGCCTGGGGACAGGGACATATTTTTTAATGGAGGCCGGAGGCAAAAATTGTAGAACATTTACGGTAGTGAACGGAGAAAGATTCTCAAATTAATGGTAAAGAACTTAGCACATGCTCCACGTTACAACAACCACGGAACAGCCACTATTATAGATCAGAGTTATACGGAAACTGTTCAACGGACAAGAAAAGTGGCAGGACATTGTTGGATTCGTCCCTGATGTAAAATCACATGTCATATTCACCTTCGGGAAAAATATAATTTTCTCGTCAACCGGTGGCATGTTGTTGAATATCTCTCCACTCATGCTCAGGAATTCAAGGTTTTCAAAAATTCCTCTTCTCTGAGCAAGTTTCCAACCTGCTGTATCTAATTTCACCGGCAACTGATAAGTATGAAGGCTTGATAGCACACCAGAACCCAAGAAGTCAGGGAACTCCAGCAAAAAAGGATCCCGCAGAAATGACAAATTGGATCTTAAATTTCCCATGTCATGTAGAACAGCATGATTGAGATGTAGTTTCTCCAACCTGTAATCAATGCATTCACTAGACACAACACATTAAGCATCAATGATGCTAATAGTATACTAGCCTTGGAAAAGCCTGTCCCAGATTAGCAGGATATATTTTCTCAAAGGAACACCGTAGCCTCACTTCCCGACAATTGGGAAACAAGATGAGTCCATGTTCCGATGCTGCTAGTAAGAAATCCCCAAGAGTAACGCATGTCACTGACAGCATTTCCAGGTGCGTAAGCGTCTTGCCAATCCACGCGATAACTTCAGTCCATGTCCCTTCGTTGGTCTCCAAAGAACCGATTTCGAGCACCTTCAATTTACTCCTATCATGATGTTGGAAAATTGGTCGCAAAATGCTACGCGGCCAATGAGGCTCCAGTCCAGATCGAGTTGTGAACGTTAGCGAAAGCTTCCGAACATGCCTAATTGGAAGGGCTAATGAGCAAGCAAAATATGGAATCAATGAATGCGACTTACGCATATACAACATTGCACAAATCATTCAAGTGCCCAAATGGCAGATATTGCATTCCATCCTCAAGAGAAATCTCGATTCGCGTCCAACTGCTTCCATCCCTCATCAGGTGAAAAAACTGCCGACACACTGGAACAACGTCTTGCATCATTTCAAATGGTGTCAGAAATTTCGCGATATTTTTGAGAACTAGCCAAGGACATGACAGAAGGAGCGAAGTGTCTGCATTTCTCCGACGTCGTGACTGCTGTCACTGAGGAGGAACATGATCCTGAAGGTAGCTGCAAAATACAGTTGATGCCATAGATTTCTCCTTTTCAGTACAATAAAATACTGTAGTTCAGCTTACAAATGCAAAACAAAACTGATGGATTTGACTTTTTTTTCTTTGATGCGAGAAAATTTTCATTTTTGGACCACAAATGCAAGGGACCAGGAATCGTTGCAGAGAACCCATATAACGTGGGGAGAGAAATCTTTTCAACAAAAACACTCCGCGAACAGAGAATCCATTGTAGACAAGCTTTTGTAGGAAGTCGTCCCAGCCGACCAGTGGAAGATATTGATGTGACCCGTACAATTGAAGATCACATCCTGTCTTTTTCATGCAAGCTCGAATTCTGCGAAGCTTAGACGGTCCTGCTGCATCCAAGAACAATTGTGCGCTTTAAAACATCTCCCATTTCACAAGCATATAAAAAATGAATTTCTGAAGGGACTGCGCTGGTTACATCAGAATTTGGCAATACGCGATTGATCCATAAGCTCAGTCATTCGTATACAGTACTTGAAATTTTGGGGTTTTGTCGGATGAGTCAAAATGAACGTTATACAGTATATACAAGAAGAATTCATGAACTCTTCCGTTTGCCCAATTCAATACGGGAGAACGCAGATAGCCACAGAAACCCCGATACTCCGTGCAATGAGTTTTTCACGTTCTGCAAATTTTCGGACAGTCTTCCTGCTATCATTTCATTACTTATAAAAATATCTTCGGCGCATATGTTTGAGATTCAAGAACCATAGGCAAAGTATACATGTATACTGACGATCTATTGGCAACTTCTCTTGGTTACTATTATGGAATATTAAGTTTGCCCCGAAATGTAAATCAATAGCAACAGTTGTACTGCGCAAGACATTCAAAGCACCAAGCAAATGTACATTAAGTATAGTGATGGCTGCCGCGTTGGCCATACTGTTCCGCGGGCAAAACCATTCCGCTTAAAGTTAAGACCTAAACTTCCCTACCATAGAACCCAGAGGAGGGAAACTCTTACGAAGTTATTGTCTTGAGTTTTGGATCAATTTATCAACGCATTTACATTCATTCTGAAAGAAGATCAAAAACAGGAGGAACTTATTTATTTCGAGGCAAAATACGGATGACGCATTAACTCACGAATTTTGAAGAAAAATCCTTGGATGATGTCCCCATGTTTCAGAATACGCATGAATTTTTGATCAAGCCGCAAAACGTCATTATTGACAACAAGTAGAAACAAACAGTAGCGTTGTTCTACCGTTCCAACCACATCAGTCAGTACAAAGTTCCCGCTTCGACACTGATTGATGGAGAAAATCAACTTCAATCTAGACTGCTTCGAACAAACTGCTCCAACTTTCACCCCATTTTCCTCTTTATGAACATCTGATGAGAATTGTTGATACGGAGTTAGAAAATATTAAAAGCGCTGTATGAGAGTCATATACACAACTTACGTAGTCGGAACTGCCTCCCCTCAGCAATGGACTTCTTTCCAAACCTTTCAAAATAACAAGAAACTTTCATTCGACTTCGATTTGCACCACATCTTCTTGAGCCACCGTCTTTTGCCCCACGTCCTTTCAACTCCATGTACGAAAGGTCTCGGAGGCCGTGGTTCAGTTTCAGGAGAAACGCACGCATTGCGGAAAAACGAACTAAAAGTTTCTAGGCAAAATATTGACGAAAGTTTTGTCGAATTCCGACACTCTCGGTTCCTGAAATCAAAAGCGAAATTAATTGAGAAACAATCAAAAGCTCGCTGGCAAGAATCAGCTGAAGAACATGGATGAGAAGGAAATTCTAGCAAATGACCCTTTCACTTCACATTTTGGAGGCTCATCTTGAATTAATCAGGATGGAACTTACGTCTATAAATCTATCTTGAACCCTCAATTTAAGGAGTGAGAAACAACGATTCAATAAGGAAACACCATCGGCACTGCTGCGAGCAATAAGTTTGGCATGTCGTACGAATTCCGAGGGTATTTTTGTTATGATCACAGAATTTCATAAAATTGAAAAGAAATGGAGCCATTTTCCTGCAGTTACGAAACGATTCTAGGCAGCCCAATATTCTTCATTTCTCTTCTTGTGTTTCTCTGCTCAAGTTGAGTCCCTCGTCCCATTTAGGTTCCCAACTACTGAGAGGGAATTTGAAAACATAGCAACTTCCAATTCATGCATTGGATCGCTACCAACAAGTAAATATAGATAGTGCGCGGTTCTGTTTGCTCCTCTGGAACAAATTGCCAAAAGTTGCGCACGCATTGAATCAAGTCTGCTGGAGCTATGAAAGAAATCTGTGCTGCACACTACCTTGCAGGACAGGTATTCGAAGGACTTCTTCCATAAATTTTATAACTGATTCAACTTCGAACAGACCCGCCGAATAACATAGCTGTACTCTGAAAGTAATCGTTCACGTACCCGCGCACCATCTCCGTTCTTATTGGGAGTGCTTAGCTACCTGACTATAGCTGGGCAAGAGTGGGGGAAGGAATCAAGGCCATGGGCAATATAGGCGCCAAACAAGGGGCTTCACAGGAAAAATACTGTCGCCCGCAATGAAGAGACAGTTCAAGTATTTTACCCTAGTACTGAAACATTTACAGGAAAAAATTGAGTCAGAGGGAAAAAGAGTCCCTGATGTGTTCTTCCCGAAATTGAGTACAGCTTTTCCCCCTTGGCCTCATCCCCAGTTGTGGTACAAAAAATTGTAAAACTCGGGGAACAACACAGGCACGACATGGGCATCTAACAGCACTTCGGTCAAACGGAAACACGCCATTACGTAGCCTGAAAAAAAAAGAACTCAGGTTCACCCCTCGAAATAACGGTACGCGATGCATATTACACATGTACTCCGGTAGAATACAGTAATGTAATTCGACATTACTCCAGCTCTATCAAATTGTTGGAAGTTGAGTTAGTCATCACTGTGCGCACTTCACCCAGTTCACAAGATGGAGGCCTTCTTGCATCGCTTGAACGCATGGGAACAGAAGTGGTTGCGTGGGAACCAGGTAGTGTGGAGAGGCGTAGAGCTCGTGATGAGTTAGTTCGATTTTCGGAGTTGAACCTTGCATCTGCGCTTCTCTATTACTTTCAGTGAAATGGATAATATTTGGTATCTTGCAACCGTGTATAACAGACGAGTGATGCAGGCGCTTCCGCGCAGGATAATTCCTAATCTTGCGAAGACGTGGCATTATGAATTCAGTGTAACCTCCATGATGAAGAGCATGAAGGTAATATTTTATTGAGGCATAGTCACTCGGTTTCTGGTTGAGGTATTCTGAAAATTACTCTGCAGTGAGAAAGGATCATGATCGGGGTTCCGAACATTTGTCCTGAAGAAACAATTTTGGACTTGTTTACGCTTATATTTGTTCATCGAGCAGTATGTTCGTTCACAACACCAAATTTATTCCCCAAAATCTATGACGGGATATGCGAAGTGATGATGACCAGCACGGAATTCTATACCACGCATGATATTGCGTCTATTCGTAAGTTCGTTGCTGTGAAGGATGTTTAATTGATGCAGTGTTACAAGTTTTCTTGATTATTCCCTTCAAAATTTTCTTGAAAACGCTGGAAATCGTCAGTTGTGACCCGACGGAAAGTTGGATTCGTCCGGAATATGGACGCGGACCGTAATCGTGCTTAATGCTTCCTATACGCACCCGGTGTGGAGATTGAAGGGAATGTTGACAAGAAAAAAATCGCCTGATGTCTCCTGGACAAGAAATAGTTTAATTAGGTTGTCATGGCATAATTAAGTATATGGCACTTCAGAGATACGGTCACCTTTCGGAAGAGGGCGGGGCGATGAGATTCTGCAGTGCTCAATGCTGACGTTCTGCATGCCGAATGGGATGGAAGGAGGACGATTGACGAATAAAAAAGCAGTTCGTGCACAAGCCCAGTCATGCAGAATTCTTTTTTTCATTTCGTTTTACTCAGCTGTATAGGGAGCAAAAAATTAATTAAATCGAAATTTATTATTGATTACTGGCTACCTTTTTATCTGGAATTTTGTGAACCTCTTCGACATTTTGGTTAACGACCGTTCCTTCGGGCGCAGAAAATTCAAGTTTCTGATGATACTTAGATGGCTCCGCAGAAATTTAGGCCGTTTAAGAAAAGGGACCCGGCGACAAGTATAGTGAAGGGTTCCGCGGAAAAAAGTCGTATTTCTTCCTAATCTACAATATTATTGTTCAGTTCAGTGCTGTATGTTGATAGGGAATTTACTGGCTGAACGGAAGTTGACGAACGTCTCCCTTTCATATATCCAATGGTCATTTGGTGTCGTTTTTCGTGCGGTGCCATAAGTATTGAAATTCCAGTGAAGGGCTAAACAAAGAAGCCTGTGTGTATAACAGGTCCTTGCGGAGCCGTACAACGATTTTCTTCTGAGTCAGTTTTGCTGCTCGTCACATGCTAGAACCGCTCCATCCATATTTCCTTGATATTGGTAGCGATCCAATGCATGATTGGAAGTTACTATATTTTCGAATTCCACCTCAGCAGTTGGGACCCAAAATGCGAAGGAATCAACTTAAGCAGAGGAAAGAAATGAGAAGTATTGTTCGACATAGAATCGTTTCGTAACTGCAGGAAAATGGCAATTCAGAGCCTTTATTGCCCTGAAGTTTGGGTGCAACCGGACTCCGCAGTGTGCTGTTCAAAGCAAAAAGGCCGCCTCTGTGTTCTTTTTTCCAGCAACTGTCATGTGTCAACTGTCGGAAATTTTGTCTGAGTATTTTACAGGGGGTAACTGAATCCTGTTGACATACGCGCGCCATAAAACTGCACAAGGTTGTGGTGTTTTCGCCGTTTTCGTCCTAAACTGCGGATGTTTTCATTTACAGAGGTTTCCCAATTTAGGAGGGGTTTCTCAAAAGTCCTCTGACGAGTCGTTTGTGGATGAATGGCGAATTGCGGAATTGGCGATGATTTCGAGGTATAAAAATTCTATAGTACAGTATGCGCTTTTTACTTTGAGTTTCTGCATTTGAGAAGGCAAGAATTGCACAAAGTTTGGTGCATTTCGAGTTTGTAATGGAAGACTGATCATATAAGCTTCCGAAAACCTGAAATGCCTCGCATTCTTTGTGAAAGTCATCCACGGAATGAAAGGAACTGAACGGATTCGACAATGGAAGCGTATGAAACTGGCAAACTGCTTCTATGGTTTTTGAGGGTTGGGTATTTCACAATACTCCCTAACTCCCAAATATTGTTGAAGTTGAAACCACCTCATTCAATATTTAATATGATTTTCATGCTGTAAGAGACTTTCGAATGTTTAAATGAACTTTTATCTCTTGAAAATTTTGAAAGATTTTTTCAGCTTTGATTCGGATTTTTTCAATGGACTTTTCGGGAAATCTCGGGGCAAATGACGCCATCAGTTTCCATTCATGATCCGGACTTCGCCCCGATGGGTTTTGTGGTCAACGAAGATCATGCCCTCTTGGAAATTCTCTGATCAATTGTTCTGCCATTCAAAAAGCAGTGGAACTCCGTACCCAAGGCGACAATTTTGCAGCCCAGCTGGTACTGATGGAGCAGTGGAAGGAAAGGCGCAGTTTAGCGGCTGAAGCGAAGTCCCGCCTCCGGGAACCGGCAGGGATCATGAATAGAAACTGCCGTTATGTTTTTGAACATTTCTTTGCCCGGAATAGTTGGAAGAATTTGACTTTGCGGCGATGCGCGCGTTTCTCTATCTATTAATTTTCATTTCTATGAAATCCTGTTGTCATAGTCCATACACCCCGGGAATTCGTGAAGCACGCAAAAATGATTGCCCGTTGCAGTGTTGGCGTTTTCTTTGAATCGTCGTTTCCTACTTTTTAAATTTGGCATACGAGAAGAGTTCAAAAGTTTTCGATCGTGATTCATTCAACAAAGGATTCCAAATCGCTGAGTGAAAGGGACATTTGTTGGGATTACCTTCTCATCCATTATCTTCAGCTGATCCTTGTCGGCGGAGTTTATTTAATTGTTTTTCTTTGTGCTGTATTTCGCTTTTGATTGCAGGAATCGAAACAGTGACGGTGTTCGACGAAACTCTCGACGGTACTCGTTCAGAGCTGTTCGTTCGTTTTTCCACAATGCGTGCGTTTCTCCTGAAACTGAATTTCGGTCTCCGAGACCTTTCGTATATGGAGTTGGAACGACATGCTGCGTCATACCGTGGCCCAAGATGCGGTACAAATCCGAGTCAAAAGGCAGTGTCGTGTTATTTCGAAAGGTTCGGAAACAAGTGTGTTACCGCTGAGGGGACTCAGGTTCGACTACGTAAGTTGTGTATAATACTCTTATACAGCACTTTTTCCATTTTCTGTCTTCGTATAAACGGTTTTTCTCAGATGTTCATAAAGAGGAAAATGTGGTGAAACTTGGCGCAGTTTGCCGGAAGCAGTCAAGCTTGGAGATTATTTTCTCCATCTTCCAGTGTCCATGCGGAGACTTCATACTAAGCGTGGTTGGAAAGCTGAAGCAACGCTTCGGTTTGTTACTAGTCGTTTTGGCGCAGTTTGCCGGAAGCAGTCAAGCTTGGAGATTATTTTCTCCATCTTCCAGTGTCCATGCGGAGACTTCATACTAAGCGTGGTTGGAAAGCTGAAGCAACGCTTCGGTTTGTTACTAGTCGTCAATAGTGACATTTTACCACTTGATGAGAAAGACATGCGTGTTCTGAGACATGGCGACATCATCAGAGGATT